TCATCCAGGTGCCGAGGGAATTGCCGCGCAACCACACTCTCAACAACCTTCGCCGCAAAGCGAAGGTTGGAGACTGGACGATAATTGGCCAGTTCATCTGGGTCCAGGGAAGGCTTCTTGAGGAGGGGCCTCACAACGGCCTCCTTAAGGGCCGCAGGAAAGGCGCCCTCCTGCAAAGAAGCGTTAACAATTCCCTGGAATTTGTAGGAATATGCCAAATTATTTGTAGGAATATGCCAAATTATTATACAAGTAAAGGCACTTACAAATATTATATATATCCTATCATTTTAAAGATTCAATAATTCAGTACTATTGTAATCTGTGGTAACTTGGCCTAAGTTTTGGGGATGCTATCAATTTACTCAGCCAAGGATGATAAGTAATAATAGTAGTAGCTGAGAAAGGTAGTATCGTTGCAATGAGAATTTTTCATGTTGTACCTTTAATAGAAAATCCCCATTCCTGGATTTCTATAATAAATAAAAAGTGCATAGTTGCTGTGAGGAATAAAAATTCAACTCCAAGGGTGTTGGAAAACAAGTTTTATTAAAGCTTTTGCAAAAGCGATGGAACTCTTGGTAATGGCAAATCCCAGAGTCCACACTTGAATCAATTTTTGCATAGGTTTTTATACCCTGTCCCATGCATCGTGCCACATCCTTCCAAAGTGAGCCCAGTTGATAGGCCCACCTGGTCACATGCTTTCCGACAGCCTAGCAATCAGATCCTCCAATTATAGATCAAATGCTCCTTTTGTTTCTGTCTTATCTTCATTCCCTTTTCTGTGACATGATTTGTAACATCCTACTAACTCAGGGTATAGCCCTATCTACAAGGTGAATTGCCACCCATACCGAATAATTGCAATTATACAGGATTTATGTCTTCCCTTGTTTTTCTATAAGAATGCCTGCTTTGCATCTAGAAGCTATGTGTGTAACAGAGTTCATGCTGGGGTTAAACATGGCTGCACTTTGGTTCATAGTTATACTTTAAAATACTAACTTTAAGCAGTTTTTATAAAGAATAAGCCTTATATAAATTGAATAATATGTTATTCATAAGCTATATGCTATTCTACAATAGTGTGCACTATTCTAAAAGTATACTTTAAATCAGTGTATATAGTTTCTATTCCTCCAGCTTACTACATCTCCTTTCCTAAAAATACTTTAGCTAAATGTCTCTATATGCCTATTCCTTTAGCAGAAATGGAAAATTACAACATGTACATTTCTTGTGTACCTCACATTGCTGTTGTTATTAAGTAAGGGGATTGAAAAAAAGGATGCTTATTTAATTTTAATAAGTATTTCCCAGGGAATGAAAGTGCAAAACTAGTATTTTTTCGTTTATGTTAAGTGAATTCAACAGAAAGTATTATGATACCTGAATCTATTGTGGGTCTCAATTCCTCTTGTAATTAATCATGCAAAATTATGTAAGTGCTGCTTTGTACTATATTTCTCATGGGAAAGTGGAGATACTAAGCCTTTGAATTAGATGCTTTCTACCTCTATAGCTGAAAAGATATTGGGAAGTGACATTTCCTTGCATTTTCATAAATAGTGCCATGAGCAAGAGAGGAAATGGCTGCATCTGTTGTAACACTGTAAAGCTAAACGCTAATACAGTGTTTCTCAGCCTTAGCAATTAAAGAAGTGCAAATCAACTCCTAGAATTCCAAGAGTTAAAAGACCAGTCAATCATTTTATCTGATTTTTGCCTATCGAGAGCGCTGTCAGTAATGCCATTAGAACTGACAGATCCCTTGCATAAAATGCCTTTCTGCCTCTTTTTCCTTATCGCTTATTGTATGTTTACTTATTACACGCTTGGAGTGTATATACCATAATAGTCCTGGGCCTGCCCTCCTGAAGCCAGGAGTGATGCTGCTGAAGATAGAGCATTATCCTCAGCAGTATCTACGGATTGACAATGCTCTCTGGGCTTGTAGAGATTGCTTTTATCCAGTCTTGGTTGGAGAAATCAGAGTCTGAACCCAAAGTGTGTGTTATCTTCAGAAGAGGCTGGGGTCCAAAATGGGATTCTTAATTCTCCCCCTCCCTCAAGTCAGAGTAGTTCTGTCTTACTACATATTGCAACAGGGAAAAAATATGCACTGCTGTCTGAACCCCTTTCCCTAGACGATTGCAGCATCCAGACATTTAAGATGAATGAAGTCAATGGGGTTTCCTTGGTAGCAATCAAGGAGAAGCAGAAGAGATCACAAAGGCTGCGGTCCTACATTGCTCAGTCGACCCAAAGCCCTATCAACCATTTTATGGCTGGCGAGGAGCGGCTGGAGCGTGGAAAGCAGCTTCGCAACTGACGAAAATATTCCCCAGTAGCCGAAGCAGCGTGAACCGCAGTCCCCGACACCATTAACATGCAACCAGTGTGGGTGCAACTACTGCCCTTCCCCTCCTCCCTACCCCGCATCGCGGATCTCTTTTCCTTGGCGGAATTATCTTGGAAGTCGCTGCAAGCAGCAAAGCTTTTAAGATGTTTCTGACGGAGGCTTGAGAGTGGGGATAGGGAGGGGAGCTACACCTGGGGGGGTTGGGAATGATTTTCTCCTTTATTCAGAATTACGGATCCATTTACTTCCAGCACCGGATCAGTGGTGCCACCGCCGTTCCCATGACAGCAGGAGGGGCAGGAGCCCCGCGATTTACAACCCCCCTCCCCCCCCCAAGCGAGCAGCCCCACACTGGCTTCGGGACTTCTTTTTCTTGCTTCTAAGCGTAAGCACCAATCTGGGAAAAGTAGCTCGCGCGTCTTTCTCGTCTTCCGCCCCGCCTCCCATTGGCGTCTACTACGGCATAGGAAAAGCGAAGTTCGCTGGGGCGGTTCCCCGCGGCGGAGAGATTCTTGAACGGGACTCGTTTCCGGCGGAGGGATCCAGGCGGGCTACGGTGCCGCGGCCCATCTTGGCTCCTCGCGGGGAGGGGGGAGGCGGCTGTGTAGCCGGCACCATGGACGAGGCCTACGACGTGATCGTGCTGGGCACCGGCTTGACCGTGAGTCCTTCGGAGCCACTTACCCTGCCACTTCCTTTCCCCATCTCGGCATCTTCCACCCCTTGCGCCCCTCCGTGCAATTTTGCATTCCTTTCTCTCCGGCTCCTGCATCCGTGTCCGACATCAGCAAGCCCTGCCAGGTTCGGGTGGGGTTGCAATCCTCGCATTGCCCTATAAGCAGCTCGGCTTTCCTGAAAGTTCCCCCTGTTTCTTAAGGATTGCAGCAATGCGTCCCTAAATCCAGCACTCGGCGCCGCCACACACATGCACACACCATCACGCGCATAGATTATGCGGGAGTGGGGGCTATTGTGCGCGTCTCTTGCAGGCGCTGCACCCTCCTCTGCTCTTTCCTCAATGTCTATGGATGCATAGTATACCTTTGTGAATTGCAGTTGTTTTGTCCAGCCCTACATTCATCCCGTTCTCTACTCCATAGTGAATGGTGCGTTTGGCCCCATTGCAGCTCCTCTGATGCAACCCGGCGCCATCAGCGCTTCTCGAAAGCGGAAAAATGATAGGCACCAACTGCATGGATCTTAATTTGTTCATTTAATTCCTTAAGTATACTCTTCTTATTTGGCTTACCAATTCATCAGTTAGGATCCCTAGTTGCATCTTTAATATAGGCATTAAATTGGGGGATCTATTTATTTTGTAAAAAAAGCTGCTCTTGCAGAATTATGTGATTATCTAGTAGTCCATATATATCTCGATAAAGGAAGAAGCAGGAATAGTATCACCGTGATTCCCAAGTTTTCTGTGTCCTTTTGCCATCTCTTGTAGATCTGTTACACTCCTGCTCCCAGATCCTATAATACCAATGGGAACAGTGATCCTGTCTCCCATCAGTGCCCAAGATTGAAGGCTCTGCAGTGCATGATTATGTGCCCCATCCTGAGCATTTCAGCAGATGTGGGTTTATCACATTGAAAGTCAAACAATTTATCTTCCACATACAGTTCATTTAATACTGAACTATCTATATGGTTTCCCCCCCCCCCCTCTGACATTTGAAAATGCTACTGTAAATGCTTTTTCTATTGAGGTTAATTAGCACACTCCCTCTTCAAATCTCAGACATACAGTAATTGGTTCTTTTCCTATTATCTTTATTATATCAGTAATCCCCCTTTTCTCTCTTTTCTTACAAGACTCTAGTATTCCCATTATATCATTGGGTCTTCTTTCTGTAATACTGAGTGTTTTGAGTTTTCTACTGGTATATTGGTAGAACCAAATTAATTTCTAGTAAGGTAACTGTTTTCCCATTGCATGAGATCCTCAAAACTGATGGGTTTTTTTCTTTGAAAGTCAGCATAGGATAGTTTTTCCTGCCTTCCACATCTCACTTTTTTTAATTTGAAAAAATGTGCGTGTGTGGGGCAGTGTTGTACCATTCTGTTCTGCAATCTTAAAAGATCTTATGTTCTATCTGTCCCTTTTGCCAAAATATGAAATGGATGCAGCCCTTATATCTATATTACATCTATATTATACACAGGCCTTATTCTGGTTCTATCATTCTTGTCATTCCAAGTGCTGGAATAAAATCACCTAATCAATTAGTGGTTCCCATGCATTTGTAATGGGGGGGGGGAGGTTTTGATCCATTGCACACCTTTTTCAGTCTCTTACCTCTTCCTTTAATGGGCATTTAAGCAGGATTCCTCATTTCATTTGAACATAGAAAAATACATCTTTTACCAAGTCAAAGCATTGGTTAAGAATTGTTTGGATTAATAGAGTTTCTCCAGGGCTTCAAATAGTCAGGAATCTTTCCTAACTCAACTTGAAGATGCCAGGGATTGAATTTGTGACATTTCACATTTAGAGTGGGTAATCAGTCACAAAGCTATGGCCTTTCATAACAGAACTGACCTATCACTGTATTGCAGAGCAACAATGGAAAGGTTCTTTTGCAGAGAAAAGACTGAATCTTCCTTAGATGTTTGTATCTACACTTTCAGTCCCTAAATCAGTGGCCCACTGATGACACCAAATTGATATCAGTGTTTGTAGCAAGATTACTCTGTTGTCCCATTTCCAGTGCATTGTTACAAGTGATTTTTCAGAAATATCCTTAATTAAATGTTAGTTCAGAGATCTAATCTCCAATTTCCCTTATACATTCCTAATTGTGTAATCAAAATACAATTTATTATTGCAAGGGAATACGATTGATACGCTATTAAAATTCTCATATCTGTAACCTTTAACTGGGCAAAACAGTGCATCCTAGGGCAAAGCTTTTTCAACCAAGGTACCTTAAATGGGCTATCTTATAAAATGCATCCAAAATCCATGATTCCCGTGGAATTGAAATTTAGCAAATGTAAAAAAAAACATTTTACAACATAAAAATATAAAACATGTGACATAGTAAAAATGTCATAAACATTTCCTGTGGTCAGTCAGCTCCTGATGCTTGACTGTGCTATACAATTCAGTGTAGGCTATTTTCAAGGCAGATACATCTCTGAATACCTCCCTGGATTTTGAAGGAAATACCTTTGAACCAATGACCCAAGGGGTGCTGAGGAAGGCACAAATGCAAAAGCTTCTTGGATAACATGTGAGACATCACAGATGAGAAGTGATATAGTTCCCGTGCACACATTCAGTAATGTCTGTACCATTTATAATTGTTTAGAGAATTAGGTATGATCGCAACATTAGGAATGCCTGTTTCACTACTGTGTCGCTGAACCCGTTTTACTCTGATCCAGAAGTAAGTTTAGACAGTTTAAATAATGGGTGATGAACAAATAATGTAGAAAATTTGTAAATTGGTATGTGTACACCACACATTTATAGACTTGGTGGAACCTGTGTGTAAATAAATGTCAGTATATTATCAGAATGATGTGGAAGTCTACCAAGGCGATGTATTTACTAATAACTTAAGTTCAGGCACTGATGTTCACAACACAGAGAATCATCTTTCAGGATTTGCCTTAAATCTCTATACTGCTAAGCTGTATACTGACAAAAGAACATCAGGCTATTTGACTTCAGGTCAAGATCAGGAAGCCACTATGTCAGTTTCACTTCAGTCACCTATTAATACAATTCCAACATAGATCTTTGTCCACACATCTTGAATGGGGAAGCTCCTTGTCAATATCTCAGATCTTGAAATCATTTTTTGTTATGGATCAACCTTCCTTTTTATAGAGACATAGAGACACACACATGCGTACATGTGCACACATACATATACATACATACTTAGAGAAATTCTATGAAATAGATTGGGATGGTCATGAGAACAGAATAGTCTCAAGTGCACTCATGAGATGCTTATTTATGCATTAATGTTTCACTTCGGGGACTCTTATTGTGGAACTTAACCATGTAGTAGAAGCACATTTGAATTTATTACAGAGCAGGCATAATCTTACTCACTTTCTATCTTAGGAATGTATCCTTTCGGGTATCATGTCTGTGAATGGCAAGAAGGTGTTGCACATGGACCGGAATCCATATTATGGGGGTGAGAGCTCATCGATTACTCCCCTGGAGGAGGTGAGGATCCATCCTTTGCATGTGCATACAAGTAGCCCTCAACTTATAACCCACATTTGGGACCAGAACTGTTGCTAAGCAGCATAGTCAATCATTAAGAGTTATGTCCAATTTTATGACCTTTTTTGCTGCAGACATTAAGCAAATCACATGGTCATTAAGTGAATCCATCTTTCCCTATTAACTTGTCAGAATCCCCCTAGGAAGGTCTCAAATGGCATCCATGTGACCTCCCCCCCCCAGGACATTGCAACCATGCTAAATACATGCTGATTGCCAAGCGCTTGAATTTTGATCACATATCTGCAAGGATACTTCAATACTTTCAAGTCACTTTTTTTAGTGCCATTACAGTTTTGAATGGTTGCTAAACAAATGATTATAAGTTGAGGATTACCTGTATTTGTATTAAAAGTCAATTTAGCACAATATGGAAACTGCACATTACTGTTATTGGATTATTTTCAGAAGACAGGATACTGAATTAATGCAAGAGAACCAGAACTTCCTCAAAAAATCAATTATTTTCTCTTTATCCTTTTCATTCCTGCTTAAATGTGCTAAGCATATCCAAAGGCTTTTCATAATTTATCTCTTTAGTTTTCCGCTGGAAAATAATAGGAAATTACATTGTCCATTTTCTGTGATGTGATCTAGATGCCATAGCAAAGAAGTCTGAATGCCACATGCAGTCTAGAATTTGTTCATTCTTTATAGGCTGTGCTTGGACAGCACATTAAACCAAAGCAGTTAAACATCTTGCAGTTCTATTTGCACAAAGTTTGGCACTTGAATAATACAATGAGGCTTGGCACAAACTTACTGGATTAATGTACGGTTCATTATATTGCAGGAATTATTCAAGTAATGGAATGGTATCTGTGAACATTCCTATAATGTGTTTTGATTACTAAGAGTGTTTGGAAATTTCCTAACAAATTACTTTCAATAGCTGGTGTGCATCGAAATGTGAATGCAATGGGTACCCTCACCCACTTACAAAAAGCAGCTATAAGCCCATGGCTGCAAGTTTGTGAAAGTAATGTAGTTAAAAAAAACTATGCATTTCCCTTTCCCCCAACATTTAAGAAACTTTGAAAGTAACGGGGTCACAATAAGTTTGGGGTGATGAGGCTGTAATACCTATCATGCAATCTCCTGTTAGAGAATTGACAATTTTTTGTGCTGTTCTGCTCCAAAAGAAATAACAAGCAGACTCTGGTGAATAAAAATGAGCTAGAGCTCCTTTCTATATTTTGTGGGCATTGATATACAGTGGTATCTTGGTACTCAACTGCTTTGAAATTCATCCAATTTGGTATTTAATGCATTTTGACACAAAAGTTTGTTGTTCTGGTACTCCTAGTTTATTTGGTAGTCAACACACGAACTAGAACTTGTCGATATCAACTGCCTTGTGACTTGCTACATTATTCCTTGTGTGAAAAATTTGTTTGGTACTCATCGTTTTTGGTACTCATCACACCTCCTGGAACCAATTAATGATGAATACCGAGGTACTACTATATTATGTTACGCTACTATTTTTGTCGTGTCTGATTCTCGGGGTCTGCTTGGACAAGTCCCTAAAGTTTTAGTGCCAAGATTATTCAAAAGTGGTTTGCCAATGCTTCCCAACCAGGGCTAAGAGGGAGATTGACCAAGGTCACCCAGCTGGCTTTATGCCATGCCTAAGGCAAGACTAAAACGCACAGTCTCCCAATTTTTAGCTTGATACCTTAACCACTATAGCAGACTGGCTCTCTTATGCTAGTAGAGCAAGTTCTAATGGAAATGTCTTTTGTAAGTTCAATATTATGATGCTTGTTTTATCCTTTCCACAATTGCCAGCTTTACAAACGCTTCGAAATTACAGAGGGGCCCCCTGAGTGCATGGGGCGTGGCCGGGACTGGAATGTTGATCTTATCCCCAAATTCCTCATGGCCAATGGTAAGTCCCATTCTATTTAGATGTTTTGGTCATCTAGCCAGAGATATGGTATATTTTTCTTGTAGATGAATAGTAATCAAGGAACAAAGGACATTACTACAAGAGACACTATTTACACTATTTTAAGTCACTGGGAATATATGTTGCTGAAGCACTGGGAAATGTATGCTGCTGAAGAATGCCAGGACATTTGGCATTTTGTTGATTTACGCTAATGAATAAATGTGCGCTCTCAGCAGCCCTTGGAGCTTCGTCCCTTATACTCATAGCTCAACTCATACGTTCCATGTTCACCTCCAAGTTTTTTTACTTCTTGTTTGCAATTTCTTTTCATTTACCAAGTGGTAATTGTTTATTATAAATTATTTGAGTGCTGCCTACTTCTACAATCTCCTGCATGCGGTGTGGGAGCTGTAATGGAGGCAGGCGGGAGAGTTTCAGGGACCTCTTTCACTGTTTTCCATATAGGACAGCTTGTGAAGATGCTACTATATACAGAGGTGACACGCTACCTAGATTTCAAAGTGGTGGAGGGCAGCTTTGTCTACAAGGCAGGAAAGATTTACAAAGTGCCATCGACAGAGACAGAAGCACTGTCTTCCAGTAAGTGAACCTGGTTTCATAAATGCTAAATCTGGTGTGTTGGAAATTACAGGAAATTTCAGTTGCATATTTATTAGCATTCTCCATTTTAAGAAGTATATTCTATTTTATGCATTCTGTTTTACAATAGACCTGCAGTTGTTTAAAAAGATAAAGCAGCTGTCAAAATACTATCAAACTTATTCTGAAACGAAATTTGAACCAGGGCAGTATATAATGACATCGGCAAAATTCTAGAATGATATTTTTCGGACTTTGGGGAGCCAAAGTATACTTTTTTCTCTTGAATAAGTTTTTTTAGTTTGAATTTCAAAATGGTCATTTGTGGAGAACCAGGTGCTCTCCACCCATTTTCTTTCTTTGTTCCCAAGTGAGTGGATTGGACATATCTCCTTGGAAGGTAAAATCTATACCTATATTTTTATATAAGGAGTGATTAGACCAAATATTAGCAGCTATAGAGCTAACAGGTTATAAGGAAGTATGGTTATAATTGAGCTTCACCAGATAGCTTTTTCTATAGGTGGTACTTGGATTTTTTTTAAAAAAAAATTTACAGTTAATCCCTTGCAGCATAAATTTTTCAGATGTATATATTTATATTTATATGGGCCATAATTGCTTTCCTGACTATAAATCCTTTTGCCGTATTTCAAGTATTGAGATTGTGGAGTTCTGATGCTACTCTTTATATGTGTACAGATTCAAAAACAGGGTTCTGATATTCCATAATCCACCAAGATTAAAGGAGGGAGAGAGGCATTCTCTCTTCCTTTGAAGATGGTGCATTTGCATTCTGTTGGCAGCATTTTAAGATCTCTTGAACTAAACTAGTCGGGGCAAATTCTAGGGTTGTAAAAGTTCTATTTAGCTCTTCAACCTGTCTTTCACCATCCCTCCTCTAACCCTCATTCTCTCACAGATCTCATGGGCATGTTTGAGAAACGACGCTTCCGCAAGTTCTTGGTGTTTGTGGCAAACTTTGATGAGAATGATTCAAAGACCTTGGAGGGAGTGGATCCTCACGTCACTACCATGCGCGAAGTATACCGACGCTTTGACCTTGGTCAGGATGTCATCGATTTCACAGGACATGCATTGGCTCTCTACCGCACTGATGAGTGAGTGATTGCCCATAGCTTGCCTTCTTGCAATCAGCTGCCCTATCTTCATGCCTCTTTATTTCTGATTATACATCACACTGATTACGGTCCCACACTTCTTCTAATAAACATTTCTTCTGGGAATGGCTGGGTCAGCTGAGAGTGAACTAGGGGTTCACTTAAGGCTGTTCAGGAGGGAGTTTATAGAAAACTCATGCAAAATTCTGTTGTTCTCTTTCAGTTTCTTTAATCATTAATGTCTGAGCAGATCCCAGTGTTTGTTTATTAAATGTTTATGCCGCTCTTCTCACAGATAATGGGTGATTAAAATATACCAGGTAATATAAATATAGGATCAATACAATAATCATAAAAACATCAGTGTGTAAAGCAATCCACAACCACTGTGAACTCCTGATTTTCCTGTAACAACACACTTCACTCTTTCCTCGTGAAGCCTCTTATTGCCCCCTTACTTTGGGGAGGACTGACATTGTCTATTCTCTATTTTCACAGCTACTTGGATCAGCCTTGCTTGGAAACCATCAATCGCATAAAACTGTACAGTGAATCCCTGGCCCGCTATGGGAAAAGCCCCTATCTCTACCCACTGTACGGCCTGGGTGAGCTTCCCCAGGGCTTTGCCAGGTACGGTCTGCCTCATGGACAGTCAGCAGCATGAGGCAGCTTTGTCTTCTGATTTTATTCTTGGCCTAGAACAGATATGTCAAGCACAAGGCCCGGGGGCCGGATGCGGCCCGCGAAGTGGTTTCATGTGGCCTGCAAAGCCATCCTGGAAACAGTGAGGGAACGGCCCCCACTGCCTTTTCCCTGGCCCAGGTCAGCCGGTAGCCAATGTACAATTTTATGGTGGCCATCTATGCTGAAACGCATTCAGTCTTAGCTCCATAAGACCCCCCCCCCCCCCGCATGGCCTGAGAGGAACAGTGAGGCTCCTCCAGTGGACCATGCCTTGGCACTTGCCCTGGTCCCACCCCCTTCTGCCAGAGACCCTCAGATCTGTCCCACTCCTGCCCAGGCCCCCACAGGCACCCTTGACACGAACGATATAGAGCTGGCCACACCCACCCAGTAGGCCACACCCACTCCATCCACGCCCACCCAGTAGGCCACACCCACCCGGCCCCCTGAGGGCAACCGCAATGCTGATGCGGCCCTCAATGAAATTGAGTTTGACACCCCTGGCCTAGAAGGTAAATGCCTGTAGAGATTATCAATCATCCAGGTCATGTTTGTCCCAAGGGTGTTTGTCCAACAGGCAACTGGACTTGTTTTAATTACCAAGAAAGTCCAGATGCTTGTTGGAAAAGCACCTTTGGGACTAGAAGGTAAGATACATTAAAAAGAAAAAGGCATTTTATATCAATATTTTTCTAGCCTGGCATTCTCCAAATATGTTTGGACTATAATGCCTTGAATTCTCAGTGAGCATAGCCTTACTGTTCCTACAGTAGTGGCCAAAATTGTGGAAACCTTTTGGGAAAAGTGTATTTTTGAGGTTTGAGGGCTAATAACACAACTTTCTCTTGGAGGAGTACCATAAAATTATATATCAATGGAAAGGTAATTTAATCAAGAATGTAATGCAACAAAGTTTGTTCAATTATCTGTACTTTTCTATGAAAAGTTATAGCCAAATAACCAGAAAAGGGAAGCACAACTTGCTTAGGTTGATATCAGGTAGCTTTCCTTCATCTGATTGTAGCCAATGAGCATGAGTGTTTAGAGAGCCAATCAGGTGCCATCTTGTTTTGGCAAATGAGCCAATCAGATCACAGTAGGATTCAGTTATTGATGTCATGTACTGAAGCTGAGAGGACATTTGTCAGTGTGTTATGTGATCGCTATCAAGTTGGTTGGGTGTTTTGTGTTCTTTCATTTAGTGAGCTTGTAAAACGTAATAAAATTAAAGTAATGGTGCAAAGAGTTGACTGGTTGCCCAGAAAGCGATGTAAAATAGTATTATTAAGTGAACAAGGCTACAGTTATAAAGAAATTAGAAGAAAACTTGGTGGAAACTTAACCAAAGGTGGCATTTCTACTGTACACTTTTCCCAAAAAGTTTCCACAATTTTGGCCACTACTGTATATACTTGAGGGCTTCAAGAAAGCTGATTTAATTTTATATGAGGAGGAGAAGCTAAATTCTATTGAAAAAAAGCAATAAAGCCCCCTAGTATAATACTTGAGACAGTTGAGACAGGGAAACTAATTCTTGCATGTCTTTGGCATAGCCCAGCATTTACAGCTATTTGGCAAGGTGTGCCTTTGGGGCCAAGGGGTGGTGGAGGTGATGGTCTGGCCAGGGCCCTTCACCATTCATTAACTTTATACCATCAGGCTCAGCGCTATCTATGGTGGCACCTACATGCTCAACAAACCAGTGGATGAGATTGTCATGGAAGGTGGCAAGGTCATTGGAGTCAAATCGGAAGGAGAGGTGAGCGTTGAAAATTGGTATTTTCATTCCATTTGATTAAAGGCCGTAAAATTGCTGTTAAGGTCAATTGTATAGGGAAGATGGTTCCTGAAATAGATTGTCTTTGAAAGTTATTCCATTATATAACTTAAGTACTTCCTGTTTTAAGAACTTCAGGATTACTTTTACTCCGTTTAGAACAGAAGTGTCAAACTCGCAACGTCACGTAACGTGTCGCGACTTTTTTGCCATTGCCGGCAATGGGGTGGGCGCGGTTTCGCTATAATGCATTCGGCCTGCGGGCCGGTAGTTTGACACCCCTGGTTTAGAAGCTACTTTTTACTCATCAAAACCCATCACATTAATCTTAAACTGGTCCATATTGACTGGGAGCAATTGGAATGGGGAATTTTCCTTTCTTGAATCTCAACTATGACAATAAAAGCAGACCTGAGTATTTAATAAAGAATTGTGGAAAATATATCTTTATGCTCAGATACTTAGTTTCAATAGCAGTGCTTTCATTTTCTCTATCCTACGCCCTTTTCGATGTATTATTGAGGAAGTTGGGGTTTGGTTTTTTGCTATTTATTTATTGCATTTCTTCCCATGCCAAGTTACTCAATAAAACGTGGATGGTGCAAAGTCTAGAAGAGCAGAAATGTCATAAGACTGCTGATAATAGAATCTCAGTGAAAACTTCTGCACGCTCAAATGAAAGCATCCATGGAGCATGGGTCCAAATCAGTTATTAACCAGATGGAATTCAGAAAGACATGGTTTCTGCTGACTGTTAACACAGAGCTGTAAAACCCCATCTGCTCTTGGCTTCCCTAACCCTTAAACAAGAGGAAAGGAGATATCATTTTACTGAACCATTTTTCCCCACAGGCTTTGAATTTGAAGCATGAGGCATTTTTAGAACAAGGGAACTTCCTTGTCAGTGCTCTGTTTTCTTGAATGTTTCCTAACACTTAGCTATATGGCTAGCTTCTTCCCATTGCACCAGGCAATGCACCAGAGCAATAGCTGGTACCCTGGACGCCATACTGAGGCTGGCATATGATCTTTCCTCAACCTGCAAATTAAAGGGGCAAAAATCTGACAATTTTTTAATTCAGCCTTTTGGCTCAACCCCTTCTCTTGACACAACATCCATCTATAAGCTTATTGGAAATATTCTGAATGAAGATGACGGTGACAAGCTTCCTGATTTAGCACCATTGACAGTACTGCTTCCTTCTTGTTGTTGGTTTTTGTTCCTCCTTCCTTGAGTTAAAGCTTACTTGGGAGAAGGCAAGGAGTGTTGAAGAAACTTTAGTGTCAGTAGTGAAGCCTAGTTCTCCCTTACAAGTGTTTCTGTATTGTCTGTCTTTGTTTCAAGAGCTACAGAAGCCCTCTTCTGGTTTCTTAACATTCATCATTTTCTTGTGCTATTCCTGGCTAAGTTACTTTCATTCAGTCATTCCCACATAAGTCATCTAATCCTGTCTGAAAGCTGATCTAGTTGAAAAGGGTTGAAACATTAAAATCCTCGAGCCAAAGGGAGAGGATCAGATGAAAACATATTAGCAATATTTTTTTAAATCCTCAAATATTAACCTCAGGTATGTTTCCAGCAGGTTTTGCTTCCCCCCCCATAAATATTACAGCTCTTTCATAATTAACATTTCAGCAGACATGAGAATACACATAGTATCAAGGTTAATTTATATGCAGTTGTGTGAGGATACAGTATTTTGTCTACACTGCTATAAAATGAATTTCTGAATTAAACATTCAAGATTCTGCATTTAAGTCCACTTTCTTCAACCTGGCATCCTCCAAATGTGTTGGTAGAATTCTCAGCCTCAGTACTTCTAGAGAGCACTGTGTAGAAGAAGGCTGGGAGTTCATGTGATGTTGTGCAGGAAAGAACTGGTGAATCCAATGTTTTCTTTTTGCTAATGCTGATTCTCCCTCCAGGTGGCACGCTGCAAACAGTTGATCTGTGATCCCAGCTATGTGCCAGATCGAGTGCGCCCAGCAGGGAAGGTTGTGCGCGTCATCTGTATTCTGAGTCACCCCATCCGTGGCACCAGCGATGCTAATTCCTGTCAAATTATCATTCCCCAAAATCAAGTGGGACGGAAATCTGGTGAGGGCAAATTGATATGGGAGTTCAGAGATATGGGAATATTGAATATACTAAGCTTTGAGCTACTTCTGCAGATTGGAGTATCAGAAATCTAGTACCATTTTTATGACCTTTAATTACATGGTAACTATATCAAATAGGGTAGGCTTAATGAATGTGGGAATCCAGATATTTATTTTAGTTAGACAGACAGATAAATAGATAACCTTTATTGTCATTTTTTTTACTGTGGGCACAATGGCACACATTAAAAATGAAATTTAGTTGCCTGCTCTCAAAGTGTACACATACATAACACATATTTAAACATACTATATACAACATATTTAGATCTACACCCTCACATATAAGTAACATACAAATATTAATCACTGTCCATCTTGAATACATAAAGGAAGGAGGAAGCTTTAGAGTTCACAAGGTTAATACTGTATGAAATAAAACTAACTGAATCTGGATGTTCTGCTGTGCCCGTTTCACCAGTGTCTCTCTGTTGAGTGACAAGGATACAAGAAGGTTTTTTTGTACCAAATCAGTGGGCTCATCCATCTAATTCCATATTGTCTACTACACACTGACAGCAGTTCGTTGGGAGTTTCAGATCAGCTTCTGGGTATAGTGGGCGCTATAAATTTGGGTGAATTCAACAATCCTAACTTCTTTTCTTCATTCCCCAATCCCAGATATCTATGTCTGTCTCATTTCCTCTGCCCACAATGTGGCTGCCCAGGGCAAGTACATTGCTATTGCCAGCACTACTGTAGAGACAGACTCTCCTGAGAATGAAGTGCAACCAGCTCTTGAACTGCTTGAACCCATTGACCAAAAGTGAGTAATTCTGGGTTGATTGTGATGACAATTGGTCCAGTGCTATAACGTGGGACAATTTTCTAACATTGACAATTCACAGTCTTGAAGATACATATACTGACTATTTATTAAGTAGTGAGGTGAGAGAACAACACTGGGACACAGCTGTAATTTGTTAAGGGTTGCTAAACATGGGAATTTCTGAGACATGTTTTCCAGCTTAGCTGAAAAATGAAAGCCTAAGGTAAAGAGCTGCAGATTTTTCAAATATAATGAGCAGTAGTACAGAAGAAATGAATGAATCTCATGAACAGCAGCCAGACGTGGTGGGCTGGTAATTTTACCATTTCAGATTGCTCCATCCAGGGAAGAAAATTACATGTGGCAGAAAGAAAGGGTGTAGTCTAATCATCAGCCTTGTAGAGTAATTTTCTGCGAATGGGACATTGTGTGAATTTTACAGACTGCTGAATATTGGATTTTTGGAATAGAAAAATAATTTAATGAAGAATGGATGATGGTATAATAAACATCAAGCGCAAGATGATGAACAGATAATAAAAATAGGTTTATATCAGGTCCCCGAATGGCTAAGAGAATGACAGAAGTTCTGATGGATATTGTGAGATATGATGGTGGTAGTGAAATGGTACTGGAACTTGGGCTGGGAAAATTTTTGAAGCTAAAGGCCAAATATGGTTTGAAAAAAGAATCAGTGCTGATGAGTGACCAATGATTGTGGTTGGCTGGTTTCTGCATCTGTAAACTATATTGATGTGATTAGAATCGGGAGTAGGAACATAAATGTGTCCATACCAACTTGTTCCATTGATTTCTACTTCTTTAATTGAAATGGGTTTAACTCCTTTTCTTTCCTTACCAGGTTTGTGGCCATCAGTGATATATATGAACCCACTGATGATGGAACTGAAAGTCAGGTGAGATTTCTCCAGGTTTTCTGAACTGTTTTAGAGTCTATTTTTCCAGAACTGGTTCTGGATCTTGCTTTTTTTTTCCCTTTCCCCATTGACTCCAGTTTGTGAACTTGTATTTTGTTTCCCTGTTTTCCCCTTGCAGATATTCTGTTCGCGGTCATATGATGCCACCACCCACTTTGAGACAACATGTGATGACATCAAAGACATTTACCGGCGCATGGCTGGGGCTCCATTTGATTTTGAAAGCATGAAACGGCGCCAGAATGATGTCTTTGGCGAGAATGAGCAGTGACCATTTCCTTTCCTTTTTTCCCTAAACCCCACCCCTCCCTAGGTTTTTCCCATGTAAGGGACCACACTCCCAGCTAGGGACTGGCTTAATTCCCACACCTCACTGAGATTGGCTCTTCCTCCAGATCCTCATTCAGGCTATGCCAGATGTCTAGTAACTTATTTCCATGGGGGGAAAATGTAGAATAATTTTCCTCTTTTTCTCCGCTGCTGGGTTTTTTTGTTGTTATTGGGGGTTTTTTTGCATACAAGAACAAGATAACCCTCTCTCCAGGACTGAGGTTGGATCAAGTTAATGCAATCTCAGTCCTTTGAAGACAAACCTCTTTCAGTTTTTCCAGTGCCTGTAGGGATTTGGGTCCAGATTATGTATTACATACAAGTTGCCTGGAATTGAATTCTGCCCCCTCCTAGGAAAAAAAGCACCTTTGGAGACAGGAAATTCTGCCTACGTTTCTGTTGCAACTTCTTTCTCCCTGTGGTTTCCATCAATATAATAAGCAAAGGCAGAATTAAGTACATCTAGTTTTCATTGTAGGTCGCTCCATCACTAATCTATTCTAACTGAGGAAAAGAAAAACAGCCACTGGGTTTTAAAAACATGCATGAAACATATTTTGGCCTTAATTCTTGCTATTGATCTCCAACTGTTACCATCTGTTCACCTTTCTTCATTCAGTTTCCCACTGTTTCCCCTCCATTTGCTGGCGTTCTCATCTCTGCCATCTGTGCCCTTCTTAACTCCTCTGAGCCTTGCATTTCTCCCTTTGCATAGTGAATTGATTTGCTGCTTAACTTGCAATGGACCATCTGGGACCATAACTTGCCATATGTATAATCATTTTTTCCTCATTTTCCCATTTTTCCTGATCATGATGTGAAGCTGCATTCCTCTGTTTTGAGAGGAGACTGGAATTGTGTGAGGATGTGGGGGCACAAAGAGCCATTCTGAACCATCTCTTCTATACATGCTGCCCTTGCAGCTGGTCCCATGTCCCCCACCTTGCACTTGAGATTCCCACAGGCCTCTCTGTTTGTCTTGCATCCATTTTGTTCCCTCAACTCCTTTTAGTTTCCTTAGCCTCAAAAGCGTGAGAAGATTTGTATTTGTATGTGTGTATGTCTCTCTTGTGTGCTGGATATAGGGACAGGGAGACGATTCTGTCCCTTTCCACTTGCTGCCACCTGCTGTAACTTATTGTAACTTATTAATGAAGCAGGTTAATTTTTTGTTGGCACTTCTGACAATTAATGAGGTTTGGGTGGGGGTTAGGCTGTGGCATGAGTACAGAGGCCTGGGGCCTATCCTTCATTAGAGCCTTCCTTCCTTCTGAAGCCAACTTTACGGTTAACAATCTGTCTGTAACTCTAGGGGATTGTGAGGAGTCAGCTCTCTCCACCCCACAACTGCTCAGTTGTCTCAAGATAATAAATTTACTTAGTCTAGCCCTGGCTCTTGTCTGGTACCATTGCTGCAGAGGAGGGATAAAGTCCAGGCTTAACTCACACTAGTGAGAGAAAAGAGACCACATCAAATTCAGGAAATGGAAGAAAGATTAAAAAAAAACACAGAAGCACCTCAATTTGGTTATGTAATTTTTCTGAAGAAGTGGCAGTTATAATATCCAGAAAGTTTTGAATGATAAAAATGTACTATTTTGCATAGCTGATTCTGGCTTCAGACTGTCAGATAATGCGCCTTTGTTACTGTTGAAGTCTTAAGACAAGGAAGTGATGCTAAGAACAAGACAGCATGGGAGTATATACAGATTTGTATTACCAGATCTCCTCTAATTTTCCCTATACCAAACTATTGGAAATTGTGCTTGAACCCAACTGGCTTACAAGAATTGAAAGACTAGTCATACTGCATCCATTTTCTTAGTCCACATAGAACACCAAGGACCAAAAGCTTAGAAGGATTTGGAAAAAGTCTCAACTCTTATTTTGTATTTAATGCCTTTGTGGTACTCTATATGTAATAAGACTACTTCAGTTGTATTAGTTGTTTTAATATCAAATTAGTACTGCTACTGCCACCATTTCAACCATCCTGTTTAGTCTAATTGATTTATATCTTTTTGCAAGTGTGTATGGAGGCAAGGCTAGTGTTCCGCTTGTGAACCAATACTGGAAGTAGTTCTTAACATTTTCTTTGCCTGGTTCTTCTTTACAAATAGAATCTTGAAGTTCTATTTTTCCTGCAGATCCCTCCTACAACTTTAAGCCCTTTTCGTGTAATTATCCTTCCCTCTAGCTATACAGTTGTAAAACCTGGATAGCAATTAATAAAATGATCAGGAAGGCATTTCAAGGTGTCTTCCACTGAATCTCATCTTTATTCATAAAAAAACCCCACAGAGCTGAAATTGACATACTTTATAATGCAGCTCTATCTTGAGAGATGCTCTATGGGTTAGATTTTGGTTCGTCTGGCACAGTGCTTCTGCTATACATTAAAAAATGTGAAAAAGAAATCTCTTCAATCTAGTGTTAGTGATTATTTCAATTAAATTTAAATACTGCCCTCTGAAAATATTTGGTGCAGGTCTTAGAATGTACAACTAGCACAAAGGTACCCGCTGAGGTAAATCAGATTCTTTCAAATATTAAACTTTAAAATGGCAACTTTCTGTTGATCCATAAAAACGAATATCTATCACTTCTGTATATATTAACTTAGCATCATATGGGCAAGTTGAACATTCAGTACCTAATACAGCAAAGAAGGAATATTTCAAACAATTTCTATAAGCAATCAGTGCAAACAAAATTCAAAGGAAACCAGGAAACATTCTTCCAGACCTAATTGCTTCCAAATAATGACATCTTGTTTAAAGATCATTAGAATATATTGATCCATATTGCACACAAGAATATGGGAAGAATATTAGAATGCTAGCAGTCCAGTTTCCTTAAATTATTTTTCTTTATCCCTTTAGGCCAATGAGTGGACAGTTGCAACCATAATATTTCCACCTTTTTAAAATGGAAAATTCAATATCATCACTGTTCATTCCCAATTGCAGTTCATAACACCCTTCACATATGCTACATGATAGCTTGTTTATCAAACTATAGTTGATTTGTTGACATCACCCAATTCACCAGGTTCGTGTATCCTGCTAAACCATATTTAGTAAACATGACGTATAATGCATAACTTGTCAATTAGCACGCGTGAATAGAAAACGATTAAAGGGCTCGTTTCATTGCAACGCTTTTGAAGCGCAGTTTTCCAGAAAGCAAGTGATGCCGATTTCGTCTTTCTCCTTAGGCGGGACTGCTTTCGGTAGCAGAGCTTCACACAAATGTTCGCCAAGCTTCAAACCCAGAAAGCACGCGTACATTATCGACTGGAGAGAGGGGCTTGTGAAAACTGAGTTACAATGCTGCGTAGATTCAGTTTCCTATCTTCACAGAAACTGCGCTAGTTGAAAAATATTTGCCACGTTTCTCGGCAAGACTTTATTATTATACATATATGTTAAAGAAGGAGTGACTAGTCCCCAGGGAGGGCAAGCATTACTTCATGATAGAAAATGAAATAAAACCTCGTTTGCCAATTAACAATTAAAAACAGCAACAGCCAAACTGGCACTTTCCCGGGGTTTTAGATTCTCGCAATCAACTTCTTATAACTGATTGTGCTTGGCTGAGGTTTTTGAAGGTCTAGTCGATTTTGCACAAAATCAACTCAAGCTGATTAATTCCCATGCCTCCTTGCAGCGGGCGACCAAACGAACCACAACATGGATAAACCAGCAATTTTATCTGGAAGCTTAAAACCCAGTTATCTGGGAGTCAGTCCTATTTAATTCCTAGACAGACAAGTATCGGATTCTGTAACAGAACTATATTTTCACTTTCTCAACAGGGAGGAAGGAGCGCAATCAAGGAGAGGCTTCCACTCAGACTTTAATTATATTTCTCCCTTTCTTTAGTATTTCTCCAGGAAGCCGCGTCGCCGCCTCTGGAGGAAGCCAAAGATGAATCGCGCTCCTGCGCAAACCACGTACCTCTTCCGTCTTGACTGACACTTCCGACTTGCCACTCCATAAGCCCGCCTCTGCACATATAAAAGTCGTCTTATCATAGAGCTGTCAAGGCTAGAACAACCTCCCGAACGTTCATAGATAATGGGAACAATCCCTTTCTACCGGAACTTCCGGCTGTGAATCGATTGAGTTTCCGAATCTTGTTCCGTGTATCTCCGGTCGTGGGAAAATAGGAAGAGGAAGGTTAAAGTTCAGTTCTGTCCTGGTGCGTGCGAGTGACGTGAGTGAAGCGGCTGGTGGGATTTGCGGTTAGAAGAAGGTTTTTCTGAACATTTGGGGAGGGGGGGGAGAAAGAAATTCCACGGCATTTTGACGAGGCAAGGATCACAGCGATCTCTCTGTATTGGGTTCCCTTTTCGTTTCACAATTTTTCGTGCCGGATCCAGAAATCCCACATCTTATGCCATATCTGCCCCTGCCTTCCAGTCCTTGGATCTCTTTCTGTTGTTGTGGGTTGTCTTTACGATTGCCATTGATGATCAGTGGTAGATCATCTGCTTTACAGGCACCCGATCCCAGGTTTGACCTTTCGCGCAGCATCAATTAAAAGGATCATAAGGAGTAAGACTTGGTTAGTTTCTGGAGAGCTGCCGCTTGTCAGAGAAGGCAGTAAAGATACAGCAGCTTCATGTATCTGTTTTGTACCTCACAGGTCCAGCAGCGATCATGGCACAATACAAAGGAGCTGCCAGCGAGGCTGGCCGGGCCCTTCAATTGATGAAGAAGAGAGAGAGGCAACGTGAGCATATGGAACAAATGAGGCAACGCATTGCTGAGGTGATGAGAACTAGAAATCATTTGAGAGATTGTTTTTTTTGAATTCTTGCAGGAGATGATGCTAAGGAACTCAGGTTTGTTGCTTAGAAATAAGTGTGTATTTGGAACACATTTGGGCAAGGGTGGAGGTTTTAAGTGAAGGACTTTGGAAAGAATGTCTGTGGAGATTCTCAGTCATCCA